GTTTCTGATTACATGGATGTGACTGCTTTGTGGTTGCAGTGTTTCTGTTTTAATATGGGGTAATCCAGATTTTAAAATTAAGGAATTACACACGTCCTCTGCTTTTCAGTCTCTGCTACTCTGAGTGTAGGAGCCCACGGCTGCCAGTAAAAGACAGAGCTCCTCATGCTTCTAACAAACTCTACTAAGCAGAACTTCTAAATTCATTAGATTGAGGACCCCAGATTTATGAAAGGCATGTTGCAAACACATCCTTTGGAATAACAGTAAACTGTTGGAAATATTTTTTAATTTTGATGCTTTCAGAGTCTTATTCAATGTCAAGCATTGGTATGTCACACTCCATTATTGTTTACAAGCATCACCATTTTGCTCTGCAGTTTAAATATGGCCACACCTCAGCTGGAGGCAACTTCAGTACAAGTCCAGAATGAGGCATCTAGATCAGTTGCAGAGCCCCTAATGGTTCTAGATCTCTGCTCCTGTAGAAATGTGAAATGTGGCTTATTTAAAGAAAAAAAAAAAAAGAAAGGAAAAAAAAAAGCTGTTGCTTGAAAGCTACAGCATCACACTGGGACCAGAAAAGCGTAAATCTGTGGTCAACACTATTATAGCAGTTCTGCCTCTAGAGGGCATTACAAGCCAAATGTTTTCCCTGACAAGGGTTGAGAACATCTTGGCTCAGCCCAGAAGACAGTTCTTAAATTACCTAAATTAAGAGGTTTTCTGTGTTTACAACATCAGCTATGTAGGAGTCGAACAAAATTATTGGGCAGCAACACTAAGAGATCCTTAATCCACTGAATAACAGCAGATAGTTTGGGTAAGAAAAGATGTTACCAGATGTTTTCTAATAGCCCTGAAACTTCTCATGATGTGAGATGTTGTGAGCAACTTTTAGCACATTGCTGTTCCATTTTAATGACTTTGCCTGCATCCTTTTTATGAGTGCTGTGATCCCCAGTGGTGGTTAAACCTGAAGATCATTGGTCATTAGCATAGAGGCTTTGAATCCTTAGCACCTGGCATGTAGGCCAGTGTATCTGATATAAAAATAAATAACATTATTATTTGACTCTCTCACAAGACCCATAATCTATACAAATTGCTCAGACATCAGTGGACATCAGAGTATCAAGTTCCAGGCTTTTTATGCATTAGACCAAGATACCTAAGTGACATATCAGAGATATTCTCTTAGTGAGCTGGTATGACAGGTTCTTCCCAGTAACTGCTGCTTCCTAAAGGTATGTGATAAGTCTCTTCAGCCACGCAGTATGGAAAAAGCCCAACAGTATTTTTTTTCCTCTGTACACATGGACTAAATCAGTCCAAATCACAAAAAAATATTTGTGTTTCTGTGGCTGAAAAGCAAGGATCGTGCATGTCTCGCTGCACGCTGAAGGCCATATTTTGTTATTGCAGAAAACAGCAACCAGGTCGCTTTAGTATAGTTTGGCTATATACGTTTGACTCTTCACATTTGTTCAACTACAATTGCCTGAAATACATTTAATGGGGCGATTAGAGTAATTACGCTTCTTTTTCTGAAGACTGATATACAGCTTCTTATATTCGTCCAGTTCTCTGGTATCACAGTGATTCTTTTCAACTTTTAGATACTGCTGTGAGTAGTTTCCTAAATGTCATAGCCAACTACATTTCCAAGAGGCTACATATCTTCCAGGCTCATCAAGGTCCATGACTCCATTTCAAATTGTCAGAGCGTTCCTTTCCTGGTGCCTCTACCTATACCCATTCTGTGTTTTTAAGATTTTGTACTGTGAGAATAGGTTGTAACATCCCCTGTAATCCGGAAAAATCCTCTCTAAAGTACACACCATTCAGTATTGGAATGTTACAAAAAACAGTTTTATTAATAGGGAAACCTACAGCAAATAAAATATTAAAAATACATTACTGAAGTATATTACAAAAAGTAATTTGATAATTAAAAGTGATATGGTAAACTATATCAATAAGAAAGATAAACAGGAGTAATGTAAAATCACACAATCACTTAGTGTTTATATTGATAGACTGGTTACATAATGACATTATCAAAAGTCTTACTGTCTTCGCTATATTATTGCAGTGAATAAAAATATCAAAATGTTAGCTTTAACTGGCTTTAGATAAAAACTGTAAGTTTGCTACATGAAAACATTTTGATTTAAACAAGGGAGCAAGCCAAAACTTTCTTTGCCAGACGGACACATTCACTTGCTTGCCACAGAGGGTTTCCAAACAGAAGTGGTAGTCTATCCCACAGTCACGGAAATTAGGTCCATCCCAGGGCTCAAATTTATCTTTTATCTCCTTTCCTATATACTGCAGAGTTCCTAGCATTCAATTCCACATTATTTTTTGAATTGGTCAGGATGTCCAATTCCTCTACATAATAAAACCCTACCCATGTCCCCTGCGCTATATTATGTATTCTGAGCTTCTTTTGTAATCAAGGGAGGGCAACATGCTGAAGGTATCCCAAGACTGGGTTCTTAAGTTATTACTAGCTGTTCTTTTTAATATTGGGAGTTTTCTCTATCAATCAGCCTCATCCATATGTAGAAAAAAGGTAGGGACAGGTTCTCTAGCCCACGCTCGCAAAGGTTCCTGGACTGTGCAGCATCTGAATGCGACTTAAAACTAAAAGAAAAAGTCAAGATCCAACTAAAGTTTCATCGATATGCTTTTATATTTAAAAATATCTTCAAGCTAATCCTCTGTTAACTCTCTGCATATGTTTATGTGCAGTTTAAGAGAGTAATAAAAATAATAAAAAGTCGCTACGTAATGGAAGAATTGGTAGAGGTCCCACTAGAATAATTATCAATGGTTTGTATAAATGTACTGAATAAGTGCTGAATGTACTTAATGAGAAATGAAAGGATTCCGGGGTTATAGTGTGGCCACGCAAAATAGTATGGAAGTTATACGCTGACAAATGACATAAATTCTATGTGAACTCCAGTTAAAGAAAAGTATTGGATTCCCTATGAAATATAATTGGCAAAAGAACCCCAAAACCCAAACCCGGCATGTAATATGGTTGCTACTCGATTAATTTTGTGGATGTTTATTTATTTTACAAAATGATCAGACCTGTTGTTGTGTAAGAAGGTTTCTGGGAAGTAGCTAGCTGCTTAGAAATGAAAAAGGGTTTTGTTTTCTTAAGAGGAGGAAAAGTGTGTATGTATCAAACAATTAAAATTAGAAGCGTTGGTTTTAACCTCCGTCTGTGCTCCAGACCCTTAGCTATGAGCACTACCACCAGTGCCGTGCCAGTCTGCGTGGTAGGCTTTGTTTTGTCCAGGGGTCAGAGATACTGAAAGGAAGAAAGAGAAAGAAAGATTAATCTGATAAAGGCATTGCCATTTCTAATCGGACTGATGGGAAACTGTGGTATGAAGTTAAAAAGGCAACACAGGGTGAATTACTGTGATGAACTACCTTAAAGCTGAAGCAATCAAATAGATAGCTCTCACATATAAAAATTACTGTGGCATCTTTATTCATCAACAGTTTTGCACAAGCGTCTCATGTTCAATCCCTTCCACGAACAGCTAAAGCACTCTGATACATTTGATCAGATTAACTCTTATCGGGGAGACTCAGCCACTGAGGTGGCTGCTTCTCACTTCCCAGAGTTAATTTCTCATTGCTGTGCAGAAGAATAAACTTTTCAAAGCTTGAAAATGACAAACGCCAAAAAGTAACAACACTACAGCCCGGTGCCTGCATTCATAACCTACTGTAATGGAATTGAAAGTGCTTTTATTCTTGTGTGTAATAGCAGTAAAACTTTTTCACGTAGGCTGACAGCTGAAAACCTGCGGAATTGAAATTTGTGACTCCTAGTTCGGAAAGTGTTCATACAAACAGACATCTGATGGAGGTTTTCTGCACATTTGTAGAGGGCAAAAGGATCACATAACAAAATTCAGTAATAAAAAGCCTACCATTGAGTAACTGACTCGAATATTATAAACAGATGTATTTGATTCGAATATAGTCAAATGATATGAAAAGCAAACATGGTATCCTAGAGAATTCAGCATAAAACTCCTGTAAAAATTCACTCACATAATTTTAAGAATTAGCTTATGATTTGCTCTTAAGAAATGCTGAAGTCTTCCCATGACGCCGAATTCTTTGAGTCTTTTGAAGTTAATGGGCTCTGAAGATACTCCATATTTTGCAGGATTGCATGCAAGTGAACACAGCAAACGAATATCCGTTTTGTGTGATCAAATGTGTTCTTCTTTGCCAAGCGTTACCTGATTATGTTCCCACGTATCCGCCTGCTTAACACGGGACAAGGAGTAAATACACAGCTATTGATAAAGAAAGTTAAGAGGATATAGAAAAAATGATCTAATAATAAGGTGTATATGTATATGGTCCATTTTTTCAACACTGATGTTATATCACCCACAGAAGAGCTAAAAGGATTTAAAATAGTATCTTCCATGTAAATAGCCTATCCTGTCCTTCTGAAGAGATGGATCAGTATCCAAAAAGGATGTACACTAACACTGAAAATGATGAACAACAATGATGAACCAGATACATTTATAGTTGTGAGAAAAAAACAGATGTAACTTTTAAACTTTTTCTCTTTTTTTAGTCTTAAACTCAGTTACAAATCTGTAATAAATACAATATGCTTCCAAGTCCTTTACTCGATTACTCTGGTTTTGTATCCTAAAGGATTTACACTGAATAAAATATAGCATTTTTAGAAATCATTTTCCTAAGATAATACTTTTTTATTTTGGCAAAACCAAAAAAAAAAAAGAAATTATTTTGATTAATGTTGGAAGCTGTATTTCTTAAAGATCGAACAAAATCAATTAGCACTACTTTGGACATAGTATACGTCACTTTACAGAAAGAGTACTTTATGGGACATTCAGTCAACAGACTGCTGCGCATTTGCTGAAATACATTTATTGATTACTTATCAGGTGTCTTATATTGTGTAGTTTACGGGACGATTATACTATTTGTCCAGTTCTGGAGTAAGTTTTTCCAAACTTTTCGAAGAGAACAATCGATGGTGACACTGTTTGAAAGTCCTAAAGAAATAAGAGAGACAAAAAAAGTGTTCAGTTTGGCTTTCATGGTTTTACCTTTTTGATTTTTTAAGGTATTTTAGAGATCTAAATATTGTCTTCTAGGTAAACTTCATTATACGAGTTAGAATGTAAACTATGCAAAATAATGTATATGAAACATACATTATTATATGTACAATTCTTTGAAGAAGAGCACAAGAACTGAATGATTTAATTGCAAGAAAATATATATTTCAATCTCTAAGTAACTATAAGCACTGCAAAAATTTCCTGCTCCAAAAACTAGATTTTATAGTCTTGTGCAAACTATGGTATACAAAATTATATTCTCCTCCCTCGCCCAGGTAAGTTAAAGACGGCAAGATATCCTTGCAATATTTTAAATTTTCTACCTTGTTTAACATTAAAACATGGATTTTAAACCAGCTGCATGAGAAATGGTAAAAAAAAGGAATATATATTAAATAAGTAATAATGGCAACAAATTGATTGGGAGTTCTGGTAGAAAAAATACAAGCAGGGTGATTCCCGAACACGTTTTTTCCAGGAAGAGTTCTTGGTTATTACACTCAATTTTTTAAAATACAAATGCTTACAAATCTAAATTGAATAAGAGAAATGCAAGTGAACCTGTGCCTTAAGAGTACAATGTTAATACAGCCAACAGACAAGACAGTAAAATAAGCTAAGTACTGTAAACAGTATTTTGATTTAGCTACTTACTAACAAAGGCTCGTGGTAAATGATTAGCAAGTCCGTGGTGTTTAAGATCAAGGTTTTAAAGCATTCTTAATAAAATTATTTTCTTTGACCCTGAAATACTGGGAATAGTATCAGCAATACAAAATATTTGCTTTGCATTAAAATTGTTTTCCCTTTCTGAAAGTAACATGCCAGAGATGAATTATCAGCTTTCCAGGATCTGATTATTAATTTTTAAGGAAGGAGTTGGTCTGAACACTTTCTACTGTTTTCTGTTGTCAACATGACACTCTGTGAAAGTGCATGGAAATGCAATGTCTTCATGAAATGTCTGAGGCCATGAGTGAATGAAAGCTGAAATTTTTACCTTTTCAACACATTTCACAATTTGAAACGTTTGGTTTTCTCTCAAAAACAGAATGAAAACTTATTTTCCTGAAAAATGACATGAAGCAGAATTATCACTCCCTGGATAATTTAGATTTAGCTACTTCACAGACCACAGTTTAGCTGAATCTCCATAAACAGACAGAGCAACTACGACTTCTGGTAAGCTTCATGCAAACACCGACGTGGCTCACCCTGAGTTTCATCTGCACTGCGTATTGCCCAACTGTGACCATATCATTTCTTACATCTCATACTTAAAGTTATTTGGTATGATACCTCCAACATTCTGGTGCATAAACCTTAAAGTAGCAAGGTAGACATATACATTGAAAATGAAATACTCCCTGTGTTGTGTGAAAGTGAGTACTGCCCCATTCTTAACTGTTCACAAGATTTATTTTTTAATGTTTCTCTATGCCTTGTACCGCCCAATTTCTTACCCAACAGAAACAGCCTATTTGCATATTTTCATATTATACTTTAAGAATGGAAAAGTATTTTAATTTTCATTGTGTGTTTGGCATCATCAACACCTTCTTACTGCAGGAAAAGTTGTCCATATAATTATTATAATAAATATTATTATAACTCCAGCATAACTGCAAATAGTTTCCTTCTAAAGCGAAGCTAGTTATATTTAATTCAGTAAATTCACCAGGCTAATATTGGTCATGGGAATGGAAAAAAAACAGCTCTAGTTGCCAAGAAAGCAAACGGATAATGCAGCTATAATTTAGGATTAAGCAGTAATTCAGAGCAGAATGCAGTATCCTTTATTTGAAAATAGGAAGTATATTTTTAATTTACATGCAGGACAGCTAGGTACAGTTTAACAAAAAAAAAAGCAGTGAACTTGGGGTGAGACGGGGAAACCAGTAATAGGTGTACACCCCCCACATCAGGATAAAATCAGGAACGGTAAGTCTGAGCATTGAAGAAGTCTTCATTTGCTGGAGCAGACGGCTTTTGCTATTAGGATGCCTGGCCAAACAAAAACAATTGGCTGCCAAAATTAGCTCCTTGGGACGATTTAGGAGCCTTTGAAGTGAACAGTTTTTTGAGCTGGAACTAAGCCCAGGTCCAGCTTCAAACTCAAATCAAAATGACAAAGAGGAAATTTTCTGTGCCACACGCCCCCTCAGTGTAAGATTACTTTGGGTTGGCAGCTGTACTGTTTATCTTGTTATTTAAAGCTATTTCACTAGATACTCACAACTGAGCATTTAAACAACTGGCTCCGATTATGACGACAGCAGTTATGTTTGACCACATTTAGGAAACATCACACAATCTAACGGAGAAATAAAAGTGTTGCTGGCTTTACAGTTAGACTAATTAAAGAAGTTTAGAATGTATACTAGATAAATGTTGCACAGTATGCATATAAAATATAAATATCTGTTTAGGAAAAGAACCCCAGCCATTTCTGTATTTGAAGATATAGATTTTAATCAGGTTTCAACAGTGTGAGAAAGTGAGGCCTGAAAATACCGCTTGGCCTTGCAAGGTCTACCTCACAGTGCTGAAGAGAGTCTATCCCACTGTATCACTGTAGCAGCATAAAGGGAAAGGAATTGGAAGCCATGTTCTCACATCTGTCTAATTTGATGGTGTAACATAGGTTCAAATCGTGCAGTGAAGCACTGCAATGCACTGCTGGTTGATTCTGGTAGACTGCCAGGATCATCTTGAATTTAAGCATAGAAGTTACGAAGTTATGTAGATAATCCTTTTGAAGCTGCAAGAACAAAAGTTGTGAGTGGAGAAAAACAGGCGTCTTCAAAATTATTTTCACTGCCAGTCCCTAATTGTTGGTTGTTGGAATGAATTAGCTTACAAATATGAATTCCCACATATTGGTGAGATTGACCCTACAGTTTTGCAGTCTCAGGATCATAGGAGCGTGGAGCTGAGTTTTATGGAATTTTTCCACAATGCATTCTTAAATCATGTCATATAATTCTCAGCATCAGAGACCTGTAATTCTCAGGCCCGAGACCTATTTTTAAATTCCCAAACAAAGTTAATATAACACTTCCTTTTTAAACTTGTCAAGCTTTGACTCCTTTCACTCTAGTAAATTGTAAGTGACTCAGGTTCAACTGACAGAGCTTAACAAGACCTATGGACCCTTTCATAGAATCATAGAATCATAGAATCATTGAGGTTGGAAAAGACCTCTAAGATCATCGAGTCCAACCGTCAACCCAACACCACCATGCCCACTAA